CCCTTTGTTTGATCTGCTGTGTTTTATCACAACAATCAATCATCTTGCATATGTGCTATTGCTCATGTGTTAGCTGTGGCAGACTTGGACAAGCATCAGTTTTCACATTGGGCAAAAGGAGTCCAGGGCATGAGGCCCTTGGTTCATGTTATTCATCTGTGTCATTTGAAAAGCAGCTCATAAGGAAACAACTGTAATCACCAAACATGGTGGTTAAGTGGCAGAGAGTGCTGTTTTATTTGTAGCCACTTTCACTTTAAGATTCCTTTTTCTTTCCAGGGGCCTTTTATAACAAAGTACTTGGATTATTATTTTTCTGCTGCTGTCACAGAACTGTAAACAGAATCTTGTGAAAAATGACCTTGAGTATTGAAGTGATAGAAGCTTATTTTGGTGCTAGGAACTTGGGAATCGAGGCTGATCCATCTTCTGATCGACTGCAGAGTATCTAATCCCTTTTGTAGAAGGTAGGGACCAGAGCAATCCATGCCAACTCTTAGGCAATTGGGATTTTTGTCAAACCAGAAGCAAGTGTTCCATCACTCCTGCCTGATGTTAAAAGGGAACACTGGAGGATAAAGCTCCCTGCGTGGATTCTGGGTGCTTTTGATGAAATAATGCCCTCTGCTTGTGCTATGCGGGCACCTTGGCTGCTGTCCAGCTTTTTTGGATGATCCATTTGCCCCCAGACAGTCATGCTTCTGTCCTGTAAATCTCTTCAACACAGTTTGCTTGTTTGTCTTTAGGAAAGCTTATTATATGACACAGCAAGCCAGAATTAACTCAAACAATTCTGTTATAATCCACCCTGTAATCAGCTGCCCCAAGTTATTGCTGAATAGACACACAGCTTTGCTGTCAGTTCTGTTTCCATGAGCTTTGCTCTTCTCCTGGTTCCAAATTTGTAATCTTCTTCTGCTGCATTTATGCTCTGGAGAATTATCTTTGTGGTTAAGTTCAACAAGACAATGGCTTTCAAACACCTCTGCCCTTCCCAGAGAGGCCTCAGCCACGTGAGCGGGGCAGTTGGGCAGTCGCAGAGTCTCCTGGTGAATTACAGTACTGTCTCTTCAGAATGTGGGAGGAAGGATTGGAGGGAGGGGGTGTTAACTCCTTCTGTAATGGTTGGTATCCCCTCACTTTTTGATGATGTCCATGAGACAAAGAGAGGCTTCTGCATCTCAGAGATATTTGCTAAAAACACACCATTTAACCAGCACTTAAAGGAAAGTACCTAAGTGCATGGAACAAATCTTGTGGCTTGATAATTAATGGATTTAACACTCATGGAATGATGGCATTTGCTTACAGGTTGCAAGCCTTTTCGAGTCCTAGCATTCCAGATAGAGTTCTTGCACACCTTTAACTGCCCTTGCTCATTCTTTCTCTCTTCAGCAAGTAAGAGCCTCCTTGATAAAGGATATAACCCAGCCACAGCGTCCAACTATCTGCTCAATCTGACTTGTACCTGAAAGCAAAATGCCCAAACATCTACAAGTGAGAACATGCTTTAGGCAGGGAGGCAGTGTTCTTGCTAGCCAAGCCGCTTGGTGCCAGAAGCCCAGCTTGGGCTGTCATGGTTAAACACAAGCAGCCTAGACTCCTCAGCCTAAAGATGATGGCAAATAGCTGCTTTCCTAGATCATGGGTGTCCCCCACTTCTGGAAATGGCCAATTGTCCCAGAGACTGCTGCATCTGATCAGAGGGGGCATCTGAGGATGCATCTTTTTTCTCACTTGGAACAATATCTACTGTTTGAAGAAGCAGCCAGCCTAGCAGGTAGAGGCAGCTGGAGCCAGATGCAGCTAATCAGTGGACAGGTGCTTGCTATCTACCTTGCTGGATTGGCACTTTGAAGGGGGTTAGGAGAGGGACATAGAACCCACTTTGCCCTGAGGCCAGAATACTATTTCAGAGAAGCTCTTGGGGCTGCATTACAGTGTTGTCCAGGGCCAGAAGCAAAAAAGGTGGGGATAAAACATGCAGAGTGGTGAAGTTTAAGGCTCTACAGCTTTAGGAAAGGCTCTTCGACCTCTCAGAAGCAGAAAAAAAACTGCACAAGGCCTGGAAAACATCAAAGCCTTGGTGACTGCATAGAGGGTGTGGAGGCTGCAGTCTCTGCTGGAGATCCCCCAGAGCCAGGATGACCCCTGTGCCTGAGCTTCTGGTCTCCTAGCTAGGTGGTCCAGTCAGTCCCAATTAGCAGCTTTACATAGAAGAATATATTTCCATGCAGAAGGAGATCCGCTGCGTGAGTAGCATTTTAATTACATTTTGCTCGAGTGGTAGCAGGTTTGATTAACAAGTTTAAATATGAATGTTACATTTGTAAGCCACTCTGTGATTTATCACAGAAAGATGGGGTGGATATGCTGAAATAATATATATTGTGAACCCTATTCTTGTTCATATATTTTGTCAGAACTTTACCACTCTATCACACATTTCTGTACTTTCCCTCCAGTTTTTTGGTGCTTCTGCACTGGATCTGTCTCCCCAGGTGGCCAAACAAATGCTCCCCACAGGAAAAGTTAACAGAATCTGGATGCACCTTCAGAGTTTTCCCTCCGAAAATGTATCACTTATCAAAAGCATGGGATCTCTCCAGCCAGTGCTGGGGCTACAGGGAAACCTGACTTCAACCCTGCCACAAATTGTAATGAGCATCTGCTGGACTGCCAATGAAGGCAAATGGTTGTGTCAGGTCAGAGTGATGGCCCGCCTCAGAAATAAAAGTATGGTTTTGGCCTCCTCTTTCCTAGCATAGCCTTTGAAGGGTCAAGGATTTCTCAACTGAAATACTTAACCCAAATGGTAGCCTGTACAGAAATGGCCCAACTTTTACTGAGCTAGTTACTGCTGCATATAATATGTAAACCTTGCAGATCCATCCGTGCTTTAATGATCTCTTGTAAATAGCACAGAGTGTGTTTCGTTGTGGCCATATGCCCCATCACGTGGCTTTCCTTATATGAACCCCTGCTGGAGCATGCCAGCTAATTAAGATTCAGGAAAGGCACTGACTGTGATTCTGTAGAGCATTCATGTATAGACATGACTGGTGGAAATTGTGCTGCACTAGCAGGCTGTGGGACAGATTGATGCACGAGATACAAATGTGCACTGGAAGGGAAGCAAAAATGCACACCTGGAATGTTTCTGAACCTCGGGTGACATGTAGCCAGACGTGGCTGTGGGAAAGAAATCTGCTTTACAGAGCGGCAGTATTAGATATCTAAAACATTATTTCAGGAGAAATTTTAATCCAAATTGTATTATTCACTCTGTTGTGCTTGCAGCTAGGAACTCAAAGCAGCTAAAACAGGACAAAAAAGTATTCAAAACAGAATAAAGCATTTTTCTTATCTATTAGCAACACTTGTGTTACCACTTAATATAGTAAAACGATATAGTAAAAATTTGAGTGGTTTACATACAAAACTTTTAAAATTATTTAAATGCATGTACAATAAATATAACTTTCAGCAATGAATGTAACATTCAAAGCAGCAAAGTAAAACAGCAGTATCTTAATGAACAATTACAACAAGGCAGTAATACTGTCAGCAGTAGGAAAAATGGCAAAGAAATACTTACCCCTCTCATTAGCAGAAAATCAAATCAACCCCCCTAAGCTCAGCCTCTCTCATATGCGCCAGATGCCAGAACACAGAAGAAAATGACTGGGCCATGTTACTGAGTGTTCTCAGATCCGTCTGTAGACTTGCACTGGAAGATACTGATTCATTACTCTTTCTTTGGCAAAGAGGTGAATGCAAAAGAAACATACATTCACACAGTTGCCTCAAAAGCCGTGGAAATAATGGTTCAGTGGTTCAATTTAAGAGAGAAATATTCCTTCAAAACAGTTAAGGAAAAAGCAATGAAAGTGTATGGTTTTTCCTTTTGGAGAGAGAATAGCTAGTAGAGCAATTGCGTATATACATGTATAGATTAGTAAACTATTAAAAGTCTGCAGCAAGAACTTTATTGTGGGGATATCAGCTTCAGCACCACATCTGAAAAGGCCCTGCACCTTGCTCCCATCCATCATACTTCAGTTTGTAAGGAGCTACTAAGCAGGACCTTTGATGCTGAGCAGAGTGCAGAGGAGAGCAAAATGAGAATTATGGTCCCTAAAGAACCCAGATCCTCAAGCTCTTTAGGGCTTCAAATCAATACCTCTGATTGAGACTGGAAATATATATGCAACTGGTCTAATTGAATATAACCGGAGTTGTAATCTCAACCAGCCATCAAGCTGCTGGCTAGTATATTTGTATTAAGAATAAGGTATGGTGGCATACAGCTTATAAATTACATTATACCTACCTACCTACCTGTCTGGAAGTGGCATTTAGATGCTTTCCAAGGGCCACCCCATATAGATTGTGTTACAGTAATACAAAAGCATGAGCAACTGTGGCCAGGTGGGTGGTCTCTACAAAAGGGCGTAATGGATTTAACTTAGCGTAAGGTGGTGTGAGCAGTTCTAGTCCTTGTCATGCCCAGGGGGAGTTCTGTTCCTCTACATAATTGGCTGTAGCCTTACCCAGGGGCCATTTCCTTAGGCAGAAGTAGGCTGGAACATCTAACCCTGTGGGCACAAAGCGATGGATGTTTGCAACAAAACCACTATGGATTGAGCTTTGCCTTTTTCAGTGAAGCATTGTTCTTTACACTGATGCGGGTTGCATACTTTGACGGGGTTTCCTTGGGATTGGTGTGATCAGATACAGTGAGAAAAGTATTTGCTCAAGAGCTGACATAGGCAGGAAGCCAAAGTATATGTAATGGTTATATTCAGATTTGCAGCATTCGTTGTAAAATCTGCTTCTCGGTAATTGGTGGATCATTTCAATGTGGCAGAAATTTGCTGTGGAAGAAGAGATGCTAGACCTGATGACCTTGTGAACTAGAGGCTTGTTCAAGATGCTTGCTCCAGCAAATTCTGTAGCACGGTGCTGTTATAACTAAACCAGTGGGCTTCCTTTTTCAGACCATCAGAAGATGTGCTACTCTGCATTGGTGCTGGCTATGATATTCTGTATGGGAGAACCACTGCCGTATCATCACTATGGTGAGAATAAACTTTGGGAAGGAAAAATAATGGCAAGATGCCAGTGTGTAGGAGATTTTTACAATCTATTCACCTATAATTAAGGAAAGACAGCTGGATCAGAGACTGGTCTTCTCAGCTGGGAAATTGGTACCCAGAATGCTTATGTGCAAAGAACTGGATAGAATCCAGACAAATTAAATCTCACCTATTCTTCTTTTCAGAAGTCTGTTCAATTTACCTTCCATGAGATCAGTCAGGTCATCTGTTGGAATATTGCCAGATCTCTTACTGACTGGCAATTTGCTTTAAATCTTCCTTCAATTACCTCTATAGTCTACCAGAATCCCAGTCCTAACAACAACAGCACAGCAACAGAGTCCATTTTTAAGGCTGCTTCAAAGGCCCAGAGCAAAGATTTTGTGAGTCAGATTTCAACTGATAGTATCAGGTTCTACTTGTAGGATCTGGAAATTTCTGGCCTAAGATTTCTAGTAACAGTGAATCCCAGTGTTGCTTGTATTTTTTATTGTTTTGTATTGCATCCTAAATATTCTGACATACTCCACAAGGGAAAATCTGGTTATGGAGTAGCACAGAAATACCATAAATAAATCAACAACTCCCTTACTTGACATCAGTATTAACAGCAGCAGCTTGTTTATTGGGTGGCACAGTTGTCCAAAGATCACAACTGATTTTGAGGGCCTTTGAGCAAGCTAGTAATTAAGTAGAAGGCAACATGCCAATCAGAAATCTGTAATCTCTAGGGTCAGGCTAAACACAGCAATGCAAGGTTTCTGAGCAGATTTACTCTGAAAAATTTCAGAGCTGAAAGCAATCATGGGGTCATAATATTGGGAGAGGAGGAACTTGGCCCATCTTCCCCAGTCCAGTTTACCTGATCCAAATTGCCCCACACCACCAAACTGTTATTCAATTGATAAGGCAAATAGCTCTGACAGAACAACTTTTCATTGTAAACATGGTACAAGGAAAAGAGGTTGAACCTTCCTCCCACAGCAGACTGGCTTCTATGCAGATGGGTGGAATGAGGTACCTGTAGAGAACAGGGGATCTTTAGACACACACACTCCACCTGTCAGCCTTACAGAAACCAGGTCAATGCATAATAAACAATTGATAGAAACATAAACTACAGCTCAAATGATCAAATGCAATTGTCACAGTAAAAATGTCTAGGCAAGCAGTAGTTTTAAGGTGGTGCCAGAAAGATTGCAGTAAAGATGCCAGATGTACCTCTAAAAGGAAATCCAGTCTTCATGAATTTACTATTGCACCATCTATGTTGACTCTTAATTATTTGAACTTCATGCCTTTTGCAAAGATTTTGCCCCCCCCCTCTCTCTCTCTCTATATATATATATATATATATATAGTGATTGATTAATACATATCAGATACAAAGCACCTGATGCTAACCAACCAGTGATTTAATCTTGAATAGAGATTATATTGCTGTTAGTGACCTAAGGTGCAATCCTGTACATGTTTACTGAGAACTAAGTCCAACTGATTTCAAGGGGCTTATGTCCTAATAAGTGTGCTTAGGTCTTTTTAACTAAATTTCTCACACTCTGGATTACAATTAATGGTCCAACCACCACAACAGCACCAAATGCACCCAAAGAATCTTGGTATTATTAAATTACTGCATCTCTTCTGTTACATCTCTTTAAAAATAACAATCTTCATGTTGTCCAAATGTAGTTCTTTATATAGAATCCCCATTTTGACCTCTGGAAATGTGGAGAATGTTTGTGCTAACTTAATTAGACTTGGCACAAAATCAACTCACGCTTAGGAATTTTTGCAGTAAGTACAGTAGGAGCAACCCAAAGCCTAATTTTTCTAGGGCTGGTTGTTGCTGTCTTCCCTGTTAGCAAAAGGAATCCTTACTTGGGTGTGATCCTAGCAATTACTTTCTTCAGGTGGTCTTATTTTGCATGAGATTTTGAGCTTTCTCACAGATACATTGAACAATAATTAGTGTCTAATGATGAAGATTAATTTTAATTCAACAAGCATTTGGGGCAGTAAAATAAGGATTGCTTGCAGATATACTAACAGGGTCACCCATCCTCTCCCCTGTGTACTTTTCCTTTGAACAAACCAGACTTCTTGATATGGGAGTGAAGGAGAAAAACAGCCTTTTTGGGCCAGCTGCTTCCCTCCTCTCCTTCAGACTCTGCCTTCCCTGACCCCATTTAGGGGAGGTTCAAGCAGAGACCCTAGTTTATTTATTGGCATATTTTAATTTATTAGTATATCATTTATTGCAATACCAAATGTTCTCTGGGCACATTACAAATGGTTATAAGGAAAAACTGCAACTTAAATGGTTAAAAGGTCACAATACCATGCAATACAAAAAACGAACTATGCAGGATATATAAGAGCAGCCATTTTTTTTAAAGGTTACCAATAGACCTGGACCTGCAGCCGAATGTAACTCCAGATAGAATGCTACCCAGGTTTGTAAAATCAGTGGCCGCACTTGAGCCTCATTTAGCTCCATACAGCAGAGATGAATCTGTCTGCTGTACGAAAGCACCATTTCTAAGCATGCTTTTTTCTCTTGCACAGAGCATCTCAATTCACAGTTTGTCCAGTTCCTGTTGGATGTGATTGAAGATGGGTTGCCCTCAGATACCACAGACCAGTTGCCTGACCTGTTCATTAATGTTCTTCTGGCATTTAATCTTCACATTCCAGGTCAGTAGTGCTGGGTTTTCCCAACTGAGGCAATGTCAAGGTTTGCAATTAGCGGCTGACATTCTTTCACTGTTACCTTGCAGGCAGCCTCATCCTGTGCATATTTGGGGGTGGGCAGAATGCAGGTTTTATTTGACTGCGCTTTGCAGCTGGAAGGGGGAAAGATCTACAGAGTGGAGTTACAGTTCATCTGGTACAAAGCCAGGTGCTATTAAGGGTCTTTAGCTCTTTCCAGGATGACTGACCAACCAGCCAGTCTACCCACACTTGTGTGCCTCTGTCCTTCAGGAGGGGCAGGTGGTTGCTTGGTCCCTTAGAAACTTTGCATTACAGTATTGTGGGCTGGCCCCAGCTGTGGCCACTAAGCAGGGGAAAGTAACTCCTGCCAAAGGGAAAGAGGAGTTTGGTTTTCTGCTCCTGGTGTAGTTGAAAGTTGCCCAGATGGCTCAGCTTTCCCAAACCTCACCTGCTTCATATGGCTTGGATTACAACTCCCATAATTCCTATTGACCATGCTGGCTGTGGAGCACTGCCCTCAAGAAGTGTTCCCAAGCATCTTTCAGAAGATGATAAAAGCTCTGCTGGATCCGGGCAGAGGCCTGCCTAGCCTGGCATCCTGTTTCCACATGTGGCCAACCAGATGCCCTTAGGAAGTTCCCAAAGAAGATGGACACTTGCTCTCTCCCCCTCTCAGTCCCAGCGATGGGTATTGAGAGGCCTCCCCCCTCTAGGATCACAGGCAGCATTTAAGAAGTAGTCTTTGCTAGCCTGTTCTCCATGTCCTTCTCTAAGGCCTGTTCAAAGACATCCATGTTGGTGACCATCATCCTCACAACTCCATTGTAGCCCCATCTAAGATGATGAAGAACAATTTCACCCTCTTATCCTAGGGAAGCCTCTTCAAGACACGGACCTTGTGTTAAAGTGTCTGGTGTGTATTGGTTAAAATTTCCAGGAGCCTCTTCGTTGAGGGAGAGGGTACTGCACCGGGCCCTTAACCAGTCCTCTTCTTCCCCCTTGTGATCGTCAAATCTTCTGCTTGTCCCTTGTGAATCTTATTGTTCAGTTCAGTTCTCTACTGCTCCGTAGCCCAAAAGCTCTCTGAGCAGTTTACAAAGTTCAAAAAGCATATAAACAAGCAATAAAATCACCGTATTTCAATAAAACCATAACCAATAGAACAACATCATCCATAACCCACAGTGACCATAAATTAGCACGTGGTGCAGCAGCAATAATAAAAATATTAAAATGAGCAATTATCTATTAAAATATCTGACCAGGTAAGTGTTGGAGGTTATGTCTTGGAAAGGTATTCTGTTGGGTAGCATTTTATTTATTTATTTATTTAAAGCTTTTATATCCCTCCCTCCCCAATGTCACAGACTCACAATGTCTTTTCTCCTGGAACACCCAATCCCACCTCATTCCTGCTAGAGCAAATCTTTTGAGAAGCAGCTTAACTTATCTTTGGTGATGCTGTTTGCAAACATTTTCCTTTCTTCTCCACAAGCATTTTTTTTTAAGTGGGCAATTGTAAGGAGGTGAAAACACACTGTGGTATCTTGTTAATCCTCAATACATTGTCAGATTCTCACATGACCACATTTTCAGGGTCTTGTATTAATTGCTTGCTGCTTTTTGATGTGATGCCATTCCATCTTGCTTCATGAGTGGAGGTGGATAAAGCAGATACAACTATATCCAGTGGCTTGCTAGTTAACTAAGAACATAATATATAGGGTAGGGGTTTGTACTCGCACACAAATTAATCACACAGATGATTATGTTAATCTTCACTTTCATTCATTATCTTTCTCATCTCACTGAGCTGGCTAGCTACAGTAATTACCCAGTAGCAATTGAAGGACAGTGTAGTTCTGGGAATTATTCTTGCCCACCTGAGGTACGGTCGGAACCAGGAACTTCTTCTAGTTAAGAACTCATTAAAAGATGCTCAGTCTCTTCACTGGACTACTACATCTTGAAAAAAGGAAAGAAAAAAAGAACACAATCTGCATCTTTCAGCACATTATACTCTATATTTCTAAAGCAGAATAGGCTCACTTCTTAACAAACTGTTGGGATTATTTATATGGATATTTGTGTAAGAGCAAGAAAATATTTCTTAACAAATATTTGTGTGGGGACTGCTTCAGTATGAGCATGTCTGAAATGCTTTTGCAGACTTCCCAACATCGTCAGGGTCTGCTGCAGCCTTCCCCAGCCCTTATACCTTCCAGATGTGCTGGCCTGCCATTAGCCATGTTGGTTGCAAATTATGGGGAGATGCAGTCCAAGACACCTGGAAGGCACCAGGTTGGGGAAGGCAGGCCTGTATCATTCTAACCTGACATGCTGGCACCTGCTGATACCTCATTCCCGCTGACTGTCTGGGAAGCACCACCCAGCATTAGACATGGTAACCACAGGTTTGACTGCAACATTTTATTTAAGGATTCCTTCCTTTGAAGCATTAGGAAATCCAAAGAGATAGCACAGTGGGATCATTCAAATTTCTCTGCTTTTTTATCCTTCGTATAAACATAGTATTTATCCCTTTATTACAAATATCCCTTCACTCCTGGGATTTCTGGAGCTGTTTCTGTTTTAAAGACATAAATAGCATGAAAAATCATTTTAAAACAGATGGTGCTCCAAACATAAAATGGGACTAAGCTAAAACCTCCAGTAGGAGCATGAAAGTTGCAGTAAGTGAAACGGAGAAGGCCGGGTCAAGGTCCGGATTCCCTGGCAGCCCAGCTCTTCCTGTGTGCAGACAGAGGCAATAGCAACTTCATTGTTTTCAGATTTCATTTGATTTATCCATTTCCTGCCTTTCTATTTAGCAAGCTGCTCAAGGTGATAATACAGACCAAACAAAATTGGCTTTTCATGGGGAAGAAGGAACTGTAAGACTTGATAAATATTCCTATGAATCCTTGTCCTGAAACTGCACCTAACTCTGGGTTGAAGCACAAGTACTTCAAACAGAGATACCAAAGCACATATTGTTTAAAGTTGGATGCTTTGGTCTGTGACCTTTGGCCAGATTTGAGCTTCAGCTTGCCCGATTCTAACACTAGACCATGACTAATGGCACATGTAGGCATTTCATGGGTAAAAATAATGAAAAGTGTACCTACTCTGCTCCCCAATGTCATGCTATTAATTGTTATCTTGTACAATAACAAAAATCAAGGTGGTAATAGGATGCAAGAGTATATTATAGTGAAATAATCGTTACATCATGGATTCAAATACTCTAAACTTCTTACAGAAAGAGATGGAAGTCAATACATTTAAATGAAAGCACAGCTTGCCTAATGTTTGCATGTGCATCATGGGAATGCTGTATAATAGTGGTTGGACCATTTTGCTAATGATGAACTAAGATTGCTCATGCCCCACCTATGTTTAAAACCAGCTTTGCACCCATCTTTAGAGAATGCTTTTTGCTCAACACCACTGCCTGTGTATCCCTTCTCCCCATTGCCACCCCTTTTTTCATTTGGTCGATGATTTGTGTTGCTATAAGCCCAGTTACAAGACAAGCACCTTCCACTAATCAAGCATCTTCTGTTTCTTAGTTCCTGAGCATAATGTGATCATGGTTACTCTAAGCAAGCACTCCAACGTCAAAACCTTCACAGAAAAGCTGCTGCTGCTCCTGAATCGTGGAGGTGAGTACAGTGGCAAGCACGCCTATCGGCAGAGGAGATCTGAGAGGTGCCTCCTAATGCTGCAGCCCGTAATTAGCAGATGATCTGAAGCTTCTGTGAAGTTTTCAGCCTTCTAAAATTTTTGGGTCGGGTGAGGGAGGTCTTCCTTCATGGTAGGATGACTAAGCTGCTGAAATTCAGATAATTAACTGCTGAGTGGCAGAATGGCATACTCCTGCCTGATGCTAAACACTGCATTCATGGGTGTCTAGAATTAGATACAGACCTGACTCCCCAAGCATACAGCTAAGAAAGTGTTGTCCTTGGAACTGTTTTATGAACAGAATTTTTATGGATCTTCGTAGCCTCCTGAGTACTTCGTAATTGCAAAGCAGGACAGAAGTATGATAAATATTTAGAGCAGAGCCCTGTCTAACTGTTTCCAAGGAGCTTGGAAATCTGCACAGCCAGGAAAAGCGGGTTTTGAATAAAAGATCTAGTCAATAAACCTCCCCTCCTTTTTAAAAAGCTGCCTTCTAATGGTTGTAGCAAACCCAAGAGTACCACCCTTGTTCTTTCTGCCTGCCTCTCCCCTGATACATAAGTCTTCACGTTTCAGCATTCTGATCTTGTCATTGGCACTGAATCCAAACAAATACTGATTCTCTTTATCTGCTTTACGTATTAGAGAAGCCTAACCTGTTGCAGACACGCCGTCGTGTTGGGGCATGCTGCCTGGTGGCTTCAGCTGGGCTCCTCTTGCAAGTGGGAGCGGGCAACACACTGCAGACTGGTGATTTATTGTGATATGTGAACTGGGAAGCCCTGGCTTGTTCTTGGCTTAAGAATGAGCACACTGCCCAGTTTGTCCTGTACCTTTGTGGACCTTTCTGTCTGCCCTGCGGTGCATTTCTGAACTTCAGAGTTTGTATAGGGTTATGTCTCTAAACACGTCACCTATTGCACCCAAAGGACTCCCGGAGTCTTGCATTGTAGGTCTCTTGTATTCCCCCACCCCCTGGCTCATTCCCCTGAGGATGCCTTTGCTAGCACTGAGCACTGTGTTGTGTCTGCTGTCTTTGAGGGGTCTATTGTAAAGCACTTCATTAAAAATCCAGAGAGCTCTGTTCCCACACAGCCTAATACCAGACGGGTCTATCTGTGCTGACCAGCAAAGCATTGTGCACTGGCTAATGTTGTTAGGAGTGCGAGGTGCCTGCTTTCTCATGCGTGTAGTACATGTGTGCTTGCTTCCTCTCCTTCAGTTTGTTGATTCCCTTCCTGTGTTTGATGCTTTTAGCTCTTTATTCCTGGTTTAAGCCCTTTTCAGGGGTGAAAATGGTTTTCTTAGTACTGCACAGGGTGATACTGCTTTTAACTTTGGGACTGCTCTGCTTGGTCTCCTTCCAAAGCCTTTAATTCCTTCCTGACCAGAATGCCTACTATTAATACCCTGCTTTGAGTCATGTTGTCAAAAATACAGGTTTAAATAAAGGTGAATCTTCCTACAGGGAAACCAACCCCTCCCCCTTGTCTACCCCTGTGGAAAAGGGGGCCACTCCCCTCTAGAGCAGGGTGGGCAGAAAGTAGATCTCCAGGTGTCTGGGACTTCACCACAAGAAGTCTGTGGCTACATGACCCATGGCCAGGAATGTGTGGGGTTTTAACCCAAAACCTTCAGAGATTTTTTACCCATTTGCTTTTGAAAACCTGATATGAATTTCACCTATATCTCTTCATGGAGAGAGCAGCCATGAAAAGGGCTGTTGAAAAAAAGTGGGTGCCTCAGGAGGTGAGCTGGAGTTACAATGTCTGTATCAGAACACAGTACTGGCCGATTTCTTTGAAATGGGGGTCTGCTGGAGGGCTTTGAAGTATAGCATGGACTTTGCCCATCAATGCTTCCCCCACGTTTCAACAGACCGTTTCATCCCTGCACCCTCGGTGAAGAAGTAGGAATGCAGCTTATGCAGCCCCACAGGCCCACCTGGATCTGCCCTTCTGCCCACTTGAAAGTGGCTGGAGCCACTCACAGCCACCCGACTGTCGTCTACAGGACAACAGGTGCTCCTCTGCACTTGTTTGGGGATTCCTGTGGCTGCAGCCTCCAGTTCAGCAAAGCTGGGAGATGGGGAGGCGCAGTGCTGCCAGAGGCCCCCAGTTTCATGCTGCAGGGCAGCCAGCCCCAGTCTAAGGCCCTCCAGTTGCTTTGGACTTCAACTTCCATAAGCCCCAGCTAGCATAATGGTGGTCAAGAGTGCTGGGAGCTACTGTCGGAAACATGAACAGGCACCAGGGAGCGGAGGGCTGCAGTAGGGACAGTAGTCTCTGCAGCTGCAACAGGATGAAGCCAGAGGCCTGAACGTTTTAGTAAGGCAGACAAAGAAGAGGCCATCCAGACTGCCCTGTGGTTCCATACTGAAAGCACCACAGCTGTTTAGAAACAAATTTGTGGGGTGGCAAGAAGGGCTAAGCTCTCAATAGGGGAGAAGAACATGCATGTGAGGGGGAACACTTTATCTCATCAGAGTATTCTTAATTGCAGAAAAGCCCCCCAGCCAAAAAGAAATGCTGCACGTTAATTGTATAACTGGGGTTGGATCCAGACAAGATGGAGGCACTGTTGGTGGGCACTCCAAATGGAAAATTTTCAACCTACCCTGGGGGGGGGGGGCTGCACTCCCCTGAAAGGAGAAGGCTCCTGGCTTAGGGCTGCTCTTGGACCTCCAGCTCTCCCTGGCCTCCCAGGTGGGCTCGATGGCCAGGATGGCACCTTTCTTCCACTTCAACTGATTTCTCAGCTGTGTTCCTACTTGGCTGATCAGAGCCTTGCCACAGTCATCCATGCACTGGTAACCTCCTACCTGGATAGCTGTAATGCGCTCCATGTGGGGCTACCTTTGAAGACTAAAACTCCACAGGGTGGTGCAGCTGCTTATGAGAGCCAGCCATTGAGAACATGTCACACCAGTCCTCCATCAGCTGCTCCCTGTGCCAGTCAGGCCCAATTCAAAGTGTCATCTCTGACATACAAAGCCCTAAACAGCTGGAGACCAGGCTTCCTGAGGCACTTCTTTTCTCCATCTATGCCTACCCTCCCACTTGGATCTTCCTCCCCTGAACCCCCCCCCCCACCCGAGGTTCAGAGGTAAAAGGCTAGGAGAGGGTCATTCTCTGTAGTGAAGCCCAGGTTCTGGATCTTGCTCCCCAGGGACATACAGCTGGGGCCGATCTTGCTTTCTTCCAGGCACCAGGTAAACACCTTTGTGTTCCAGCAAGCATTTGGTTAAATTAAATGGTATTTTGCTGATTATCTACTTAATGTTTGATTGTTTTAATTTATATGGTTATATTTGGATATGCCCTGTATATGATTTTATATATTATTATGTTGGGACACATTTTAATGTTTTGTTTATTTTATTGCTTGTTCTGTTTTCTCAATTATATTTTATGTGCTGATTCAGCATCTGTAAGCTGCCCAGGTTAAGGGGTGGCATAGAAGTAAAATGAAATAAATAAATAAATGAAATAATTTTAGAAGCACTGGGGGGTCCTTCCCATATGGATCCAGGAAATCTGGCCGTGAACCTGCAGTCTTTGCAGCTGTGTGTCTGGGCTAATGAGCACAAAGTTTTACTCTTCAGAACAGCTTTCTGAAGTTGGGCGTCTGGCTGGCTGGCTGGTGTCATTAGCACCTGTGCACACACTCCAGAGACCGCTCCTGCTCTGGCGAGTGCTACCACAGAGCCTGTGTGCCCCTCGTTGAAGGCTCTGGCTTCAGGCAAGGTGAGCACTGGCTGTGTGTGACGCGCCCTCCTTCTTTCTTTCTAACCCGTGACCAGACGATCCCGTGTGCATCTTCAAGCACCAGCCCCAGCCACCACACTCGGTGTTGAAATTTCTGCAGGACATCTTTGCCAGCAAGGACACGGCAAGCATCTTCTACCACACAGACATGATGGTCATGATCGACATAATTGTGCGGCAGATTGCGGATCTCTCCCCTGGAGAAAAGGTACTGGTGGGAAGGAAGAGAACCCGGGGCTCCCCTTTTGGATGTTTCCAGAAGAGAGAGGACCCCATGTAGGGAAGAGGTGGAGGACGTCTCGTCATGCCTCTGAAGGGATGGGAATGGAGCATCTCCTTGGCTTCTCCTTTACATTGCCCAGCCACACACTTTAAAGTGGGGGTGCAGGACCTGAGGACCACGGGCCAAATCTCGCTGACTTGAAGTCCCAGCCTGGCCCTCCAGTACATTTTATCAGTGCTCTAGAGCAGGGGCAAAGCAACTTGGCACCCTCCTGACCTAGCTCTCCCACAATCCCAGAGCACTGGCCATTCCTGCTGGGGCTTACTAGCACTGTAGTCCAAAACATCTGCCAGGCATTACAGTGCCTGCCCTACAACCTGCCAGTTCGAGGCACTGCACTCGAGCTAGGAAGCCCTAATGAGCTCTGGGCTCTCATGGTTTGGAGTGTTGGTGTTGGAGTCGCTTCAGTGGCTTCTTGACAGCATCTGGGCACCAGAAGGCAAATGCGTATGGTTCCAGTCTCTCTGCTGTGCAGCTGCTCTCTGTAGTGATTCACCAAAAGCTTTGATAATTTCCTGAAGCAGCAGATGGAATTTGGGCTTTGTGCAGTGTAGCTGCAGAGAATGCCTGCGCTTAGTGCTCCTAGGCACCTCCTTCTGGAGAGCGCTTCCAGCTCGTTCGGTCACTGGGCACGTGGCAGGCCACAGTTGCATATTGCGACTCTGCCTCTGTCCAAACCCACACCGTGAGCCTGCAACTTAGATGAGACCTTGGTATGTGGAGTGCAGCTTTGTCCCATCTCCTGCATCACAGCAGCCTTCCTCATCCTGGCACCCCCAGCCAGAATAGCCAAAAGAGCTGGAGGACGTGAGGCCAGGTCTGTCAGGCTGCTTTAGGGCATAAAGAAAAGCGGTGTCAGACACCTGCCTGGACGGGGAGGTCAGTCTAGGTTTGGGATGCCTTTGACTGGAGCCAGGAGTTCACATGGACTCATTTCCCAGCCACTCAGCCAGTCTGTTTGGCTGGCTGAGCGGCTCTCCAGGCCTGCTCTGCAAGATGAGACCTGTAGAAAGGGCTGCTCAGGAGCCCCTCCCACCGATCTCCAGTGGTTTTTTGTGCTGGAGTCTCGCACTCCACAAGCAGTGATTGCTTGGGCAGCCCATTTCCAGGCTTCGGCAAGGGGCGGCATAGAAATGTCCTGATGATGATGATGATGATGATGATGATGATGATGATGATGCCCTTCCGATGCACTCTGCTCCTACAGCTGCGAATGGAGTACCTGTCTCTGATGCACGCTATCATGCGGTCCACGGGGTACCTGCAGCACAAGCACCGCTTCACGGACTTGCAAAGGACTTTGCAGCGCATTATGGTGGAGGAAGAGGAGAGTCAGCAGTGCCAGATGGACAAGATGATAATCCAAGAGATCTATAAAGAGTTCCCCGAAATATCTCCTGGAGCCAGCTAACTGGCCCAGGGAGAAAAGGGTCTGGAATTTTAAAAAGCCCCTTGTGGATGTGTCCTTCCCGTCTCTTTCCAGTACTGCTCATATCTTGCTTATCCCTTCAGGTGATCCCTAAGGTTTAAGTGGTGTGCTAAAAAGCCCTGTGGGAAGACTTTTCAGCATGTATGCAAGCCAGTGCGGAGATCATCCAGGACGGCCTGCTTCTTGGGGGTGGGGGTGAAGCAGGAAAAGCTGCTGCAGATGGAGGGGTAGCATTTGTGTGCACGCGGCGTGCTTTGGCAGGAGTGGGGAAGATTTATTTCCTCCCTAGTGTCCTTCGCACTGAAAGAGGATGGAGAGGCTTGCAGTCAGAGGGCCTGAGTGCTTGTTCCTAGGATCCCAGAGCGAAAGGTCTCGGCCGTAAAGTCCCATCTCCATGTGCATTTCTTGTCCTGCAGCTACAAAGTGGAGTAGGCTAGTGTTAGAAACAAGCTTTTGCAGCAACTTGCCTGGTGCATCTAGGGGAAAAAAGCCACAGGCCTCCCAAGGAAGCCGCTTGTTGCTCTTCGTTATGTGCCTCGTGAACCCTTCCGGTCCTTCCCTGCCCAGTCCTGGATAGCAGCTTAGCACAGCCAAGCCCCTCCTCTCAGAGGCCTGACCTGAGCAAGTGCCTGCTGCTCTTCGTGGCTTGATGTGGTGCTGTGGACGCTTGCAATGCTTGCACGCTGCACCGGCCGAGGGACCCCGATTGTCCAGGCAGCAGGAGTCCCTGCAGAAGACTTGCTGCCATGGCATGTCCTCCTCGAAAGCCGCCGCTCGCCTCCTGCAATGTGCTGCCTTGTTGCTGCTGGCACTGCACATGCGAGGACCAGGTCTCCGCAGACGGCAGCCGCCGTGCTGTCTCTCAGCCCGGGATGTTTCTTGCCCTGAGCTTAGTTGCAATTGGTTCTGCCTTGCATCACTGTTCTGTGTCCTGAAGGCTGCCTAAGCCCAAAGTCCACTAGCTCTGCTCCCTAATATGCACAGGTTGGGAGGGCTCCCTTTTCTTTGTCTAATTCCTTCAGGTCTCCAGCAAAATGGATTTGCTTGCTTTTCCTATTTAGGTATTTCGGACAGGCTCACATACCAATACGGGTCTGTAATATCTTAATAACCATGCACGCTGCCAAAGCTCTTTTCGGTGGGTAAACGAGCTTTGTGTAGAAGTAGCTTGAATTGAAAAATGGAAATATTTGGATAACCTCTTGGCCTGATGTGTACCAAATGAATTTGAAGCTGTTCCTTGGGACCTGGCATCAGCTTGATGCGGCATCCACGCAGCAAGACTCTGGCGTCGGCTGTCAGTCTTGAGCACGTGAGCGAGGCGATAGTTGGAAATCCTGTCTCAGACAAGTGAAAAGCCCTATTTTTAAACAAAATGTTTAAAATGAAATTGTTGTGGACATTGAAAGGGATTTGTATTTTCATAGAATCGAATAAACATAGTCCATGGAGAACTGTGTCTGATTGTTTTACCTGACAGCACGCACAGCTTGGTATCTGTCGCTGGCAGTTGTGAGCGAGCTTGGGTGAGGTGCCGGCATCCCTGCAAAAATGCCAGCTTGCAAGCCGAAAACGGCTCACGTGTATCTCTTAGGCCTTGTGATTGTGGAGCACGATGCACGTGTTCTTAACCTGAGCTGGTGTGAAGTGCAATCCCTCCAGCCCTGTTTTCTCACGATTCTGCTGTGCTGGCTCCATCCCTCCACATGGTAAGGTGTCTTCATGGCACAGTTCAAGAGGCACCTAACCATACAAAATCCACACATGAACCTGAGCCCTCATCCTGCTTCTGGCATGGCCTGTCCCCCATTGAGCGTGGGTGTGTGATCTGCCCCAATCACTATAAAGCTCTTTAGAAAGTTCACAAGGGCTGAAGCCATTATACCCATGAATTCTCTTCCAGGGTATAAATATGAGCAGAGATATCCCTGCCGTTCCTAGAGGAGCAAAAATTCTTGAGTCTATCCTGGACTCTCTTCTTCCTCTTCCTCTCCCAGAGAGGATTAAAAAATGGTGGAAAATCATCCTTAGTAGGATTTCAGAATCTGATGAAGGTCAGCTTAACCTAGGCAAAAGTGAGCTGTACAGCAGAAAGCATGGGAGAAGTTCAGGGCCATCCAGTTTCTTTAGAAAATAATTTAGAACCATTAATTCATTAAAGTCTGTGCTCTTCTTAGCTGGAATTAGCATAGACCAGTGTCCCATCAAACAGCTCCAGCATTTCTTCACAATATCATCCATTGCACCTGCATAATGTCTGGTCAATGACTTCTGTATATACACTGACTTGAACATGCATTGACAGATGGAGCTGGGAAGGTTGCAGAAAGAGCAACCAAAGGGATTGGGATGGAGCACGATAGTAGGAAGGAAAGGAGTCCCAGCGAACGCCTATGGGGGTGGTGCTCATCTCTAAGGCTATGAGCCAGCGCTGTCCAGACATTCCTGTGGTTATGTGGCCAGCATGATGCTATGGGGTGCTGTTTCCTCCTCAAAGTGGCACCTGTTCATCTACTTGCATTTCATGCTTTCGAATTGCTAGGTTGGCCAGAGCTAGGGGCAAGGCAGCAGGAGCTCGCCCCGTTGTGCAGCTTTGAACTGCTGACCTTTTGATAGTAGAGGGAGAACATAATAATGATGCATATAATTTCCTACCTTATAAGAGTAGAAACTGGGATCATCCAATGAAGCTGAATGGTGGGAGCTATGAGACAGATAAAAAGAACTTCACACCACACATAGAGCTATTGGAATTCTCTACCACAAGATGCGTTGGATGGCTTTAAAAGGCAACAAGTTCATGGATAAGATGGCTATCAGTGACTGGCCATCGTGATGTCTGTATACTAAATCCAGTATCAGAGGCAGTCTGCCTCTGGTTAGCAGGGCCATGTGACCAGGAGTTTGCAATTGCCCTCATGTCCTGCT